GCATATTTTCCTGGAGAGTTAATATAAGCAGGAACAAAAGCCACCCACACAGCACAGAAGATCAGCATGCTGAATGTGATGAATTTGGCCTCATTGAAGTTGTCTGGAAGATTTCTTGCTAAAAAAGCTAACAGAAAGCTAAGGATAGCCAGAAAGCCGATATAACCCAGTAACACTGCAAAGCCAACAGTGGAACCAACTAAACACTCATAAACTATCTTGTCATTGTGGTACTGGGTGTTTTTATGCGGTGTTGGTGAGTCAATGATAATCCATACAGTGCAAATCGCAGCCTGAATACAAGTTAGAGCTAAAACTGTTCCTCTCTGCTGCATAGCACCAAACCACTTCAGACTGGCTCCACCTCCTGGCTTGGAGGCTTTGAAAACAGCCAGAACCACCATGGTTTTAACCAGGATGCATGAGACACAAAGCACAAAGCTGATCCCAAATGCTGCATGCCTCATTTGGCATGTCCAGAGTCTGGGTTGTCCAATGAACAGCAGCGAGCACAGGAAGCAGAGTTTAAGTGACAGCAGAATCAGGAAGCTGAGCTCTGAGTTGTTGGCTCGTACCATCGGCGTACTGCGATGATGAGTGAATATTCCCAGAACAACAGCACAGATACATGTGCCCAGTAATGAGACACTGGTCAAGCAGATACCCAGAGGCTCCTGATAGGAGAGGAACTCTGTTGTCTTGGGAACGCAGTGGTCACGCTGTGGGCTGGACCAGAAGTCCTCTGGACAACTGACACACTCCAAGGCATCTAAAAGGAGAAAGAGGTGAGAGGAATTGTATTTTAACCATCTTTAATATGTTCACAATGATAAAAAACAAATACTGAAACACAAACCAGTCTGATTGCTTATCTTTCCCTCCGAACAGGGGATGCAGTCAAAACAACATTCAGGTTGACCCTTTTTCCTGGCCCTGCGAGTTCCTGGAGGACAGCTGTCACTGCACACTGACCGAGGTGGCTGCATGAGGACAACTAAACCAGTCATTTTACATCAGTATGCAAAGAGGTTGCTGCTCCACCAAAAAAACAGAAAACTATTACCTGCTTTGATTCAAAATTCCAGAAGATTTTTTCTTCATCCAGTATGAGTTCTTCTCCTCTGGAGGCTGTCCTCTTTACTTCACCCACATTTTGGACCTTAGTTCTCCCATCGGGGAGCCAAAGCCAGTTCATAACATCATAGACCGGAAAAGCATCCCCATTCTTATCAAATGACACCTGATCTCCAAATGATGTGGAGAAGTTCACCATTTGCAAATAATGTGTCAGCTAAAAATGTTTGAAAAACAAACAATGCATAGGGAAAGTTACACATTTCATTCAAACAAAAGTTTCTAACTGATCATTTAGTTCAATTTAATCTCAGGCCCTGTCATATCATGAAAACACAATGGTAGGGTGCACATGCACAGCATTTTTGTATTTTACTTTCTTAATCTTCAGATAATTTATCAATTAAATATTCCTTTCACATTCATGTGTAATGTTGGAGTCAAGTATTATACAGGACCACATTATCAGTTTTTGATCAGAATACCCAATATTATCAAATTATATAATAATCAATGTAAACTGTTTACACCATGTCTACCCCAGAATTACGTCTTAATCAGCTTTTTTGGTTCTTAAGAATACAACTTTACACCGTACCTGCCATGGCTCCAGAGTTAGTGAAGTGGCACAGCTGTGCCCTGTGAACGGCCCTCTACCCGCCTCACACCTCAGCATGTCATCCAGAGCATATGCCAGCGCATACACAGCTTTGTAAACATTGTACTCAGGCCTGAGGTTAGACAGATCCAGGAACTCAGTGTCCACACCTTCTAGATCCTCTTCTCCTGTGCATATTTCTCCCTCATCTCCCATCCAATCTGCTGGATCAAACTTACACTGAAATGTGTGTTCCCAGAACTGTTTCACCTGAAATGCATTAAAGACACAGTATTCAGAAATGGTAAGGCCTTTTTTTATTTTTCACAAAAAAAGAAGATATTACCAAGTTATTTCCATAGTTCTTATTTTGGCCAGGGCGTATTTGTAAGAGGAACTTTTTGAGTCCAGGTATTTCTCCTCTGCGAATGGCGATACCCAGTGTGCCGCTGAGGAATGGCATCAAACTGGGTGTCTGGAGCACAGTTGCGGCTGTCCAGGCTTCACTCGAAATCCACTGGATACCTGTAATATTTTGCTGTTTCACCTGTACAATGAAATATAAAAGAGTTTAAACATCTGTTGATGGGGGAAAAAAAGCCAATTAAATGGACCAAATAAAATGAGTAGTTGGTTGAAAAATCTGAAAACATAAAACCAGAACGTTTGAATCTGATGAAGTGATATGCTGCATCTGAAAGTACCAATTCTAAAACATTGAGAACTGACATTATATTGAAAAATGATACTTTGTACACATATAATGAACTCTTACCTCTTCAAATAATTGCATGACATGACTCTCATGTGCAAAGACCATGACAACACGAGCTGTTGATGCCTTTATCAAGGAAACAATCCTTTGCAGTTCGCCTGGGTCACTGTCCCAGGGTATGACCTGCACATAGGCCAAACAGCCTCCACCAGACGTTGCCAGATCAGATTGGAAAGATCGGGCAACATGTAGTCCATAATCATCATCACTGACCAGAAGACCTACCCATGTCCAGCCAAAGTATTTCAGAATCTGAATCATAGCACGCACCTGAGTGGAAAATTAGCAGGAGAAGAAATCTGGTGATGGGATTGTTTTTAAGATTTACAACAGTTAGATTGCATTCCCTTTCTCAACTTACTGGTTCTTCTGAAAAAAATGACATTTGTCTTTGGAAAAAACAGCAATAAGTGACTGTGAACAATGCAGACAAATACATTTTAGAATAAAATGACCCCAATATTCTTTTAACATCTTATTATCCTTTATGGTCAATTTGTCATAAAAAGACAAGAAATAGGCTTTTATCACAGGGAGACAGTTTTCAACTTCGATGTGTGTTTCTGACCTGGAAGGCATCACTTGGGATTGTTCTGAAAAAGGATGGAAACCGCTGGCGATCACTCAGGCAGGAACAGGTGGAAAAATAACTCACCTAACAGGAGTAAACATCCTTTGTCATACACACTTATTACATTACTGATGATCATATATGAGCAAAGATGAATCTAAAAAACAGTATGTATATGAATTCAAATATTTTAAGTTATCAATTTGGAATTGTTAAACTTACAATTGGCATTTTATATAAACCAAGTACACTGGACATGGAAATAGAAAAAGTTGAATAGGAGTCACCAACAACACCCAGGACAGGGGGCGTCCCTACACAGTTCTCCTGAAGCAGAAACTGCTTATCTCTTCCACTGACCAGTGATAAGGCACCAGTGAATCCAATAACAAGTGCACCACAGTTATCATATAAACTGTATCCCAGAGTCACATTTGGCAGCAGGTTGTTATTCTTGTT